CAGTGCTGCTGCAGGACATGGGGCCAGACTGGTGGCCATGGCTGTGCCACATGCTCTGTCCCCAGCAGTGACGTGATGTGACCAGTGGCCCCCAACTCCTGGTTTGCGGGGTTAGCGCTGCAGAGAGCCCTGCTCTGCTGTCTCTGCGTGGGAGGGGGCTTGGCTGCTGCATTTTCAGGGGCAGGAACACAGCAGTGACGTGAGCAGCTGCTGGCAGTGGCAGGGCTTGCACAGGGACTGCCTGAGCAGTGGTGCCAGCTGTGTCCAGGAGTGGGCATTGCTCTGGGGGTTCAATCCAGTCCCCATCCATCTGCTTCCTAGCGCAAGAGACAGCAGGGCAGGGGGATGCAGCTGGGTCAGGAAGCCCACCAGGTCACAGCCACCAGCGGGGTGTCTGTCCTACAGTCAGTCTATGTGTCACCCGTGGCTGGTGTGTACAGCATCCAGCCTGGCATTACTGCAGCTGCTGGCAGTTACTGGCCCTGACTCACTTCAGAAGCCACATCCCTGGGCATGGGGCAGTGCAGGTGAGGTGCTGGGGTGCCTCAGCAATCCCTGCTCCAGCCTCCTGCTGGACAGCAGCACTGCCCCTGCCCAGGGAGGCTGTGGACAGGGGGAAGAAAGACCTCAGGGGCTGGGGTCTGGTGGGGGCATCATGCCAGCCTCTCTGTCTGATGCCTGCCCACCAGCTTGCCCAGGGCCTGCTCCAGAGCTCTCCTTCAGAGCCAGGAGCACTCTGCAGCTCTGGGAGGGAGCCATGGCCAGTGCCTGCTGGCCATGGAAGTACTGGGAGGGCAGGTAGAGCCCACATCAGTTCCCACATTATCTGGCTGAGGAGGAAGATGAGGAAGAGGAGAAGTAGTGACCTTGGAGTGGAGCTGGCAGAGACCACACCACTGCAGGCCCTGCAGGGGCTGCTGCTACTGCTGCTGGGGTTCTGTCATGGCCTTGCTGTGGTCTTTCCTCAGCCTCAGCCAGCATGTAGGGGCCAGACATGGGAGTGAGACCTGCACCCTGTTCCCCAGACACCCCGATATCCCCCCATGCTCAGTGCCCATGTCCTAACATGCCCAGGGACCATGTCCTGCTGCCATAGAGGGACCAGACCCAGTGGTCCTGGATGGGCTGTTCTGTGCCCATGTGGCTGTGCAGCCAGTGCCCCGTGGGCTCAGCCCATGCCCAGTGGGCTCTGCCAGCTCAAACTGTTGGCACAACTCAGCTGAGAGGGAGGCTGGGTGTTGGCATTGCTGGGACCTTAAACATTCACACCAGTGCTCGGTGCTAATTAATTATCCTCTTACGTTCACTTTTATCTCTCTATCTGCACAGTGACGCAGCAGGGGCAGTCCCTGCCTCCCTGGCCACACAGATGTCCTCCTTGGGTTTATTTTTGTTTCTTTTTCACCTGCATGTTTTGGCATGAGTGTGGAAGAGCTGCTCCACTCAGTCTGTGACTGCCAGTGGCTCTATGCCCTGCCTGGGCAGCCCCTGTCACAAGCATTCTGCTGGTCTTGAGTACCACCCTGGGTGCCCAGCACAGCTCTCCCCAGGGTGAGTCCTTGGGGATGGAGCTTTGCACTCAGCTTTCCCCTGCGGATAACACATCCAGAGGCCTTGCTGCTCACATGACCATGTTTCCTCCTGGGCACAGCTCTGTTCCTGATTACATGTGTCCCCAGCTCGTGCTCACCCGCTGTCTGTGCCAGCTGCTGTGTCCCATGCACCTGCTGGCCTTGGGCTGGGGTCCTGCCTGCAGGGAGCCACTGGGTTCCTCCAGCATCAGCAGCTTGGCCCAGGCCTGGGCCCCACCCAGGTTAACCCCTTAAACACAGGTTTAAGGGGTTACCCCAGTTGTGCTGTTCTGGCCTCCCTGCCCACCTGCACAGGACTTGAGCACCATGGCAGGGCAATGATGGTAATTGGAGCATCCCCCTCCTCCAAACACCCTTGGCACATCTGGACAGCAGCATCCTGGCTGTGCTGTGTCTGGTGCTGGCCACCAGACCATTCCATGTTATTTATTGCTCGCTCCTCTGGTCTGTACTGTTCCTGCTGGCAGGGCCATGCAGGGCTAGGGTCCTCACAGGACTTCAGCCAGACCCCAGCTCGGGTCCCTCTGCCCATCCCACTTGTGGCCAGGCCCTGCTGGGGTGCACTGGTGCCAAGCAGGTGGCGTGGTTGGGGTGGGGAGATCCCTCCCAAACTCACCCAGATTCAACAGCAGCCCTGCAGGTGCAGAGGCAAGACTGGGAGCTGCAGCAGCCATGCTGACACTGGTAACAGGTGGGTGGCAAGGTGGTGACATGGCCACAGCTGGGTGGAGTTGGGACCCACGTGTTGTGCCAGCCCACCTTGGGGTGGGTGTTCAGGAGAGGGGACCCCTGGCCAGAGTGTTGGGGAATCCGCCACCTGTCTGCTTGAGCACTGGACAGGTGGCACCAGCCCCCAGGAACGTGTGAGTGTGCAAGGGTGGCACAGAACTGGGGCAGTGTAGTTTGGCAGCCCCAAAGGGCGGCAGCAGTCAGGGTTGGAGGTGCCCATGTGGTGCCTGGGTGGTGGCACTCAGAGTGCTTGGTCCCCATCACCTTGCATGGCACTGAGGTGCTCACTCCCACCAGCACAAGACTCTTACTGCTGGGCTTTGAGGTGGGCTCAGAGAGTGGCAAAGCCCCTTTGGGCCCCCTCAGTCCACAGGGTGCCCACACAGCAATGCCAGCTCATCAGTCGCTGGCTGGTAGCACATGGGGAGCTCTGAATTGCAGCCAGTGAGACAGCTGGGCAAGCATAACTTGTTCCTCAAACAAAGATAACAGCCTTCACTGGGATCCAGCCTGGGCTTTATTTACCCAGTTGCTGGACTCTGGCTCGGGGCTCTGCCCCCATCGCTCCTCATAAGGTGGCTCTGAGGGTCTTGTCAATGTCTGGTGCTGTGAGGTGACCCACCCTGGGGTGACTTCCTCTGTCAGTGATAAGCTTTTTGCAGCACCTGTTTTAGGAGGAAGTGTTTCCATGAACCTGTGGCACAGACAAGAGCCCCTACAGGTGTGTCCCCCACCCCAGTATGTCTGCAGCCTGAGACTGCACAGTGCCACAACCTCCTCCTGCCCTGATTTTTAGACACAGCAACCTTGAGAGTAACCCTAGGGACGTGAAGCCAGAAGCTAAGTCCAGATTCTGTGCTTAGACATCTGATTATTTGCCCATTAAGCACTTCTTGCCACCCAGCCATGTGGCCAAGCCCCACACCATCTGCAGGGAGCAAATAGTCCAGCAAAAAACCCAGCTCCCATGGGGCACAGTGGGCATGTTCCCCCACCCCAAGGGCAACCCCCCCAGGCTGCTCTGCCTGGCATGGGGGTCAGCCAGCATTAAAACTGTTGTTGCTGCACCCTTGCCAGTGGCAGCCAAGGTGGGGAAGATGGTCCTGGATCCCGTGATGATGACTTCCTCCTGGGGTGCAGTGGCATGTGTGCATGGGCACAGGCTGGGGTTCTTAGTAGCAGCTGCACCCTCCAGGGAGCAGTTTGGTGGTGGAATATGGCCATACAAAGGCAGGGGGGTGCATATCCCACTTGTGTGGCTTTGGGGTGACATCTTTCCTGTGCCCTTGCTGGGGGAGCAGATCTGTCATGATTCGTGTCCTGGTGGTTCCATCCTGTTTAGGACTCTCAGCTGTGTCCAGGGTGCTGTCCCCCTTGCCCTTGGTGTGCTGCAGGGCTGGGGATGCTCAGGACAGCCCCCACAGTTGTGGTTCCCCTCGCTGTGGAGTGCACAGGGGCTGTCCCCTGTGTTGCCATCCCCAGGCGCAGGGACAGATGGGTGGCCAAGGCATTGCTGGTGCCGGTGTGGGCGGCGAGAGCTGGCAGGGACTGCTCGGGGTGCGTGGGCCAGTGCTGGGAGCGGGCTCCTGCTGTGACTCATTGCCAGTCTGGCCCCTCAGTCCTGATCCTGCTCTCAGTGCAGCCCCTCAGTCCTGATCCCTGCCCGCTGCTGCCTGTGGGACCGCTGCAGGCGTGGCCACACACAGACACTTGTGCTGCAGCAGGACCAGCAGTGTCACCATCAAAGCCAGGACCCCAGTGTGTCCCCTGCTGCAGGTGGTACCTGAGTGCTGGCCCTTCGTGTCACAGTTCCTGTTTCCAGCTCTGCACATGCTTTGCCACCATCACCTGGTCCAGGACTCAGCTTTGTGTAGGACACAGGGCTCTTGTGTCCCTCAGGAAGATCCACCTCCTGAGGTGAAAACCCAGCCATGATGGTACTGCCATGGCACAGTGAGGCTGGAGCCTGGGGGCCTCGTGCCTGTACCCAGGGAGTGGAGACTTCCTGGGGCTGACATGGGCATGAGATGCCCCATGAAACTGTGAGTGAGGTTTAGGGTGCAGGTCAGTGCTAGGGAAGGCTAGCTCCCACTGCTTGCTCCAGGAAATGCCATGGAATGGGAGGCAGGTGCTGGTACCAGCACTGTCACACCCTGCTGGGGCTTTGGGAGAGTTGTTTGGGACTTCTGATTTGACAGTCATCAGACAAGTATTTGTCTGTGCTGGTTGGATTTCATCTCCCCATGCAGGGCAGGCAAGAGCAGGAGATCCTGGTGACTGCCAGCTCTGCAGGGCTCAGTGTTCTGCAGCACTCCCATGGGGTGGCACCCTGTGCCCATACCTTGAGGGGTATGGGCACTGCCTATTCATCCCTGCATACTGCTTTGTGCAGGTCACAGAATCACAGGCTACCTCAAGTTGGAAGGGACCCATGAAGATCATTGAGTCCAACTCCTTAGGCATTAAGCTCGTGGTTAATTCCAGCTGTTAATGGCTTTGTGGAGGCAGAACAGGGCCCAGGGGTTGCTTTGGTGAAGCCCATTGATAGCTGGGAGCTGCAGCAGAAGCAGCCATGGACAGCCCAGGGCGGCTGGGTCCCACACCAAGAGGGTTTGAACAGAGCTGGGGGCGTGTTTGACTCCTCTCCATCTCCTGAGCTGTTTTGTCCTGTCCCCACAGCAGCATCATGTCCCCGGAGCCTGGACTGTGCCCTGCAGCGCCGAGAGTTCTGCCCGCCGGGGTCAGGTGCCTGCGGGCCCTGCCTGCCCCCCTTCCAGGAGGATGACCATGGCCGCTGTGTCCAGAAGCAGCTCTCACCCAGTGGTAAGTGCACCCATCCTCCACCCCTCTGCCTGCACACCTACCCTGCAGCTCTGGAAGGTTCTGTGCCTCAGGACCGCCCCCCACCCCAGCAGTACCCCATCCTCTCTCTTCTCTCCATGGCAGCTGTATCTCTGTGGGGACAGCTGCTCCTCTCCGTCTCACCCAACTCACCTCAGCTGTGGGGGTGGTTTTGGGCTGGCAACCCCACCCTGCTCTATATGCATCCTGCTCTATGTGCATCCTCCTCTGGTGACTGTGTGTGGCCCTGTCAGCACTGTGGGGAGCCCAGGACCTCCAAGGACAGGAGTAGGACAGGCAGCTTCTGGGGATCTCCAGGGTCTGCCTGGCTGTTCCAGGGTTCTGTCTGTGCAGGAGCAGGGGCACTGCTTTCAGCACAGAGTGGTCACTTAGGCTGATTCTGTGGCTGACTGAAACAGGTGTCTGTGGCCTCAACCATCCCAGGGCTGGGCTGGTACCAACCAGCCAGGTTGCAATGCCTGATTGTCTTTGGTTTCAGATGTTGGACTGTGGTTCACTGATGTTTCCTCCTTGGGTGATGCCCAGCATCCATGGATGGGCAGGACCACTCCCTGGCTGCATACCAGGGCACTGGGGGCTGCACTGGGTGTTATTCCTGGCTCTGTCCCCAAGGGATCTGAGGGGCTGTGACAGCCCCTGGGTGCAACAGCCCATGTCACCCATCCCACTGCTACTGCAATACTTGAAGGATGCTCCCAGTGCAGCTTTGACCCTTGTGCCCCTGGTTCAGCTGCAAAGACAGTGCTGTGGCCAGGCATAGGCATTTTTTAGCATGACAGTCAACTCTTTATGCAGCTTGGGAAACTGTGGCAGAGCTATTTCTGTGCCCTCTTATCATGGGACCATCTCACAGGTGAGTAAAGACCATAATTATGGCACACAATTATTTATTGGTGTAAAGTGGAGTGCCCTCTGTGGCTGGGGGAGAGGCCAGGACTGGCCACGTCCTCAGGCTGCTCCTGGTGGGTTTTGCTGGGGACCACCTGGATGCAAGGTACTCTGGAGCACCTCTGAGTCATCTCCTGGTGCAGAACGTATTGACATCTACCCCAGCCCACCCTTCACCCACTCTTCACTCCCACTGCCCCCAAAAGTCTCTTGCTGAGGGGTTTCCAACTCCTGGAGAGTTTCTAAAAGCATGTGGGTGGCTTGTCCTATGCCAGGCAGGAGGATTGAACCAGGGAGGCAGCTCCCCCTGGATCTGAACTACATGCAGACATGGAAGGGTGCTTTGGGTTTTGGGGGATTGCTTTGTGTTGTTGAGCATGTAAGCAAGGCCCTTTAGCTGAAATGAGAGGGATGGCGGGGGGGATAAGAGGGGATGGCATCCCCTGGGATGAGGTCCAGACTTGACATTTGACAGCAGTCAGCACCTCTGCCATGGGCTATTCATCCACTGGCACTGAATGGCTTTAGCAGTTGCTTATCGTTTATTTTTTAATAATAAATTAAAAAGTCCTGAGAGCAAATTCCCCTCTTACAAGGGCTGCACGTGTACTGGCATCTCCATAGCAACCCAGCTCCTTTCTGAAGGATGTGGCCATAGTTGCATCCTCACCCAGAGAGATGCAGGACTACACTAGCATCCTCTAAGGACCCACCATGGGGGGATGGTGACATCATCTCCCAGTCCCATCCAGTTGTCCCAAGCAATGCCACTAGCTTGTAGCAGCAGAAGTATGGGGACTGCAGTAAATAAAAAAGGGGGATTCTCTCCCAAATCCTCTATTTTAGCATCCTGAGGATGCCCAGCTCCTCTTGGCAGGGAGGCACCATTTATTTTTCCATGGGGGCTTTCTCATCGTGCCTGTACCTTCGTGTGGTAGCAACACCAGAGAAGGCTGTGAGGATGAAGAGGGGCTGTGATAGCTACACTTAGAGGGAATGCAAGGCAAACAGGGGGCTGCTGTAGCCCAAGGATGCCTAAGCCTTTAAAGGGGATACCCATGCAACCCTTTTGCTATGCAGGCAGCTCCTTTAAAGGGTTACACATCTTTGAGCCACTTGTGACTGTTGGTGACACCGATCCTGGGATCTTGCTGCTGTGCCACAATTCCTGGAAGGAGCCAGGGGTCCTCTCCCAAGAGCAGCTTTTTGGGTGAAGAGCCCCATTTGGGGTCTCAGGAGGGCGATGCATGTGAGTGGCGTGTTGCTGCCATTATAATGTGTAGGGGTCTCAGCATACCCGGCACAGCATCCGTGCAGAGGTGAGATGGGATGCAGGGAACCTGGGTGCAGTGCATCCCACAGCTGGCTGTCTGCACCTGGCTGCTGCTGTCCACATAATCCCACACACACCGTGGTGCTGCATGTGCACACCATGTGCTGTGATGGGTTTGATGTGCTTTGAGATAGTGGGTCTCATCCCTGCCTCTGCTTGACCAGCATGGAGCCCCCACTGGGCTGCAGGAAGCACTTGGGGGAAAAGGGGCTTCAGCTCACAAACGTGTGGGTTCCCCCTTCCCTGCTTGCTGTGCTGCCAGCACCAAGGAGGACGTCAGCCATCCTGGGCCAGGACTATAGAAGTTAGTGGATTTGTAGGAATTTTATGCCCTCCTGTGGACACTGTCAATCACAGTTTTCCTTAGCCCAGGGTGGAAGCCACATGTGTCTCTCCTTGGTCTCTGTTTCCCCAAACTGCCAGGGTAGGTGTGTGTCCCAGGGTTGAGCCCCGAGGAGGTGGAAGCCCTGAGGAGAGGCCAGGGGCAGAGCAGAGGGGCTGGGGGGCTGTGTGCCAGCCTGGCCATGCCGTACTGCAGCAGCAGTGGTAACAACTACCATGAGGGGGCACCTGCACCCTGCACAAGCCCTGCCTGCACCACCGGGTGTCCTTGTGCATGTCCTGTGTGCGCCCGTGTGCCCTGTCCTTGTCCCTGTCCCATCCTTGCCCTGCATGCCCTGTATGCTGTGCCCTGCCTGGACCCTGTTCCTCTGCAGCATCTCTGCTCCTGCATCTGGGGCAGCCAGGCAGGAACTGGGTCTCGCCCCAGCTCCCTGTTTCCTGGAGCAGCTCAGGGCCAGTATCACACACACCCACAGTGCCTGGCAGGACCCAGCCCTTGAGGGTTGAGGTGCCCTCAAATGTGTGGTGGCAACTGTGGCATCACTGAGGGAGGTTCAGCTGCCACACAGCATGGGAGGTGGGCAGCTTTTAGCCACTGGAAGAGAATTTGGTGATAAAGCTGGTTAGTGCAGGTAAGTGGCACAACCCAGGTGCTGCAGCAGCTGCCTCAACCAAACTGTTGCCTCAGTTTCCCATGTGCCACTTCACACACTGCCACAGGACGGGAGACTCTGAGGGACCTGGCAGCTGCTTTGGCTGCTTTTTCAACTATTTTTTTCCTTTTTCCAGACACATCACATCCAGCACCAACAACACAGCCTGATGGTCTCCCTATGGAGACAGACCTTTCCCAGAGTGCAGAAGGGAGCTGGAGACAGAATGTCCCCATCTCAGGCACTAGGATGTCCCCTTGCGCAGGGCTATGCCCATCCTGGGCACCAGGATGTCCCCCTCAGGCACAGGCTGTCACACTGTCCCATGCCAACTCCCTGACCCATTGGGAGACCATGGCCCCATGCTGGCACCTTGGCACCATGGGCCACCTATTGAGCACGGCATTGGCACAGCCCCAACCTGGCTCCACTTGCTCATGGTGCTGCTCTGGGATGCAAATAACAGGGTGCAAAGAGCCAGGGAAACCCAGGGCTCCAGCTAAGGGTAGGAGGCTGGGGGCAGTTTGGGGACACAAGGACATGGAGGATGTGGGGACAGTAACTTTCAGTGCTTTTGTTTAAAGCAAGAGTATTCCCCTTTTAAATTGTGTTTTGGCTCATGTGGCTCTGAGTCATGGGGCAGCAAGGTGGCCTTTGTGCACAGCTCCAGATGGAATCAGGGTTTATTTCCAAACACTGGATGTGAGGACAGATTCCAGAGGAGATGTAATGGTTGTAACCTTGAATTATCTGGGAATCAAGCTGCAAGTACCACCTTGCCTTTGTATGTCTGGATTTAGCCCCCAGGGCTTCCCTGAGGGGACAGTCTGAATACGGGCAAAGTGTCCTGGTTTAGGGCAAATTTGGGAGAAAACCTCCAGAAACAAATGGGGTCCCTCCAGAAACAAATTCAAGCAGCCCCTTCCCCCAACTGGTTTGGGAAAAGATTTCCTTGAAGAAAAGTGGGAAAAACTGTTCAACAAGCAAAGTATTTGCAAACATTAAAAATGAATAATATCAAACAATAACACCTCCTGCTGTTTTAAGAGATGGCAGATTCAGAAAGTCCTTTTCATGGGGTGTAGCCCAGCTCGCTCAGTCCCTTATCAGTCCCTCTAGTGCTGGATAGTGCCAAGGCTCAGGCCCCAGTGAGCCACAGGCACGAGCTGCCAGTGTTTTTCTGTGTTTTCAGTCCAGAGCAGGTTTGAACAGATCCAAGAAAAAAGAAAAAAAAACAGCCCAGGGAACTTAGTTAGCTATAAGCTAGCTGAAAGCAAAGGTGAGCTCTGACCCGCTGTCTGTCCATGCTGCAGACAGCACAGTCTGGAGAAGGATGCGGGGGAGTGAGTGCCGCTTCTGAAAAGAAACTGTGGCTTCTTCTTTCCCCACTTTGCTCTTGGAGCCAGTCATAAAGGTGCAGGACTGAGTATGTCACATGAACAGAACAGACTACTGGGGATACTAGCATCATTAAATCACCCCAGGACACAAAGGAAGCAGGGATAGGTTGGGGATTGAGATGGGGACAGGGATGTCTACTGCGTTTGAAATTGAGTTTAATCCTGCTAAAAGCGGTGGTGAGTGTCAGAGCTGGACTCTGCTTGATGAGCCTGAGAAGAGCAACTCCACTCTTGCTGCAATGCTGTCACCTCATGGCTGGGCAACCCCAGGCCAGAGTGGGAGTCCTGCCTGTGTCTGATGCTGCAGAAGCCCCCTGAAGGGCAAATGTCCCTGGTGAGCACTGTGCTGGGGTGTGGGCTTGGACAGCCACCTGTGAGATGCTGCTGGAGCCAGCCCCTGGGGGTATATCCCACACAGCATGGGGCACCCCTGTCCCCTCCCCAAAGGAGCTGCATCCCACCAGGTGCTGGGCAGGAACCAACCTCTCTACTGGAGCACGGGCTCCCATGCTCTGCTGAATAGCCGAACTGTGCCCTGCTCTGGGGTGGCTCCAGCCACCCTGGGCCATAAAGGACAATTTGGAGTGAAAACCAGTGTTCAGGTGTCCTCTGACTGCAACTCACTGTGCTGAAGCTGCTTCTCACCCCTGAAGCAGCCAGGCAGCTGGCATCTGTCTATGATCCAGCTCCCATCCCTCCTCACTTGGGGCTCCTAGTGACCCAAGGGGTAGGGACACAGGGCAGGTCCTGCACACCAGGGGGCTGACACCCTGCCCTCTCTCACAGAGTCCTCAGCACCTGCTGCCTCTGGCACAAGGGCAGATGCTGTTGCTCCTGATCCTCCAGCATTTGTGGGGTGAAAAATGCCACTGAAAGCAGTAAGGACACGCATGGGCCCTGGGGGCCAGCTTTCAGAGAGCTGCGTCTGAGGGGCCTCCGATTAAACACCACCTGTGTTTGCTGGAGCTGGGACAGGAGCCCCTTCTTGGAGGTACTGGTCTGGCCTGGGGGTGGGCACACAGCTGCACCCCACAGTGCCCATCTCACACCCATTCATTCTCCTGTAGGACGGACCTCCATTCCCAGCTTGGAGGCAGAAATTGATTTTCTTGCGGATGTGCTGGCCAGGCAGGAGGCTCCTCGCCACCACCCTCTACAGGATGGCAGACCCAGGAGTAAGTGCTCACTCCCTGCTCCTGGCGGTGCCAGGGACCCCATGGCAGCCAGACCCTGCACCCCAGGCAGGTTTGCCCTCTGGAGCTGCCCATGCACCACTCACTGCTCTGTCTTCTCCCGCAGCCACCCTGGTGCCTGACCGCGGCAGACAGCGTGCAAGCAGTGGGCTGAGAGGGGGGCATCTGCAGCAGGGTCCTGCTGGCACCATGGCAGCCACCACCCTCCCCACCACTGCCACGGTCCAGAAGTACCCGGTGGAGGCATCTCCCATCCCTGCAAATGACAACATGGTGCTTGGTGAGACCCTGGGACTCAAAGGGAGAGGTTTCACACTCTCACCAGGGAAGTATGGGCTGGTGTCACCATGCTGCCAGCTCACCTGCTGTCCCTTGCTGTCCTCTCCAACTCTGCAGGGCTGATTGTGGTGTGCACAGTGGCTGGAATCTCAGCGCTGATCGTGGCAGCCATCTGCTGGTGCAGGTGAGCTGGGGCTGCTGGCAGTCCCTTGGTGTCCCTGTGCCCAGGGCAGTGTATTACCACATTTCCCAGGCGTGAGGGATTAGAAGAGAGGCACCTACTACCCTTGCCAGTCCCCCCAAGATGTGGCATCAGATGGCTGGGGCAGGAGGATAGTAGTGAGACATCCTGGGGGAGGAGGACAGTAGTGAGACACCCCTGCACCAGATGCAGGCTCCTGGGAGCAGGTGGCACCTGGTGTGGGCCTTACTGTGGTGCTGGGTGCTGACACTGCCAGCACATTGGTGCCTTGTGCCCAGGCCCCATGGGATGGAGGTGGCTGTGCCTGTCATGGTGCCATCACAGGGAGACCCTCCAAGGGTCACTGGCTCCTGAACGGAGTCATCTGCTCCTATGGCTCCCCATATCCTCTAGGATGGACTAGAGACGTCATTGTGCCCCACACTGGGCACCAGTGAGGCACCTCAGATCCTGGTTTTGGGCCCCTCATGGCAGGAAAGACATTGAGGGACAGAAGCATGTCCAGAAAAGAGAATGGGGCTAGGGAAGGGTCTGAAGTACCAGGAGTGGCTGAGGGAGCTGGGAAAGGGGCTCAGCCTGGAGAAAGGGAGGCTCAGTGGGTACCTTCTGGTTCTGCACAACTCCCTGACAGGAGGGGACAGCCAGGGGAGGGTTGGGCGCTTCTCCCAGGGAATAAGGGACTGGGTGAGAGGAAATGGCCTCAAGCTGTCTGAGGGGAGATTTAGGAGATTTAGGCTGGACATTAGGGAAAATTCATGTAATCGGTCAGGAATTGGAAAGGGCTCACCATCCCTGAAAGTGCTCAGAAAACATGTGGATGTGGCACCTGGCAACATGGTTTAGTTGTGGACTTCAGCAGTGCTGGGTTATGGTTGGACTTGATCTTAGAAAGCTTTTCCAACCTTAGTGATTCTCTGATTCCAATTCCCCTCCCTGGCAGGCTGCAGAAGGAGATCAGGCTGGCACAGAAAGCAGAGTATTCAGCCCAGCGAGCAGCCAGCCCCCTGCCCTATGACAAGATCTCGGTAAGGCGCCCATGTCCCTCCCTGAGGAGTGTTTGGCACTCAGGCCCCAGTGCTCTGCTGGAGGGATTCCCACACAGTAGAGGCCCCCCACCAGCCAGGCTGGGGCCCTCCAAAGCCCAACCTCCTCAGCTGTTCCTGCTCTCTCCACAGCCCGGGGACAAGACGCTGGCTCAGAGTGCCCAAATGTACCACTACCAGCATCAAAAGCAGCAGATGCTCTCCCTGGAGAAGTAAGCAGCCTGGGAGCAGACAGCAGGTCCTGCCATTAACTGGGATGGCCCTAATCATCCCACTGGGCTTCATCTCCTCTCTGTGTCTTTTCCCCCCAGGCATAAAGAGGAGCCCAAGCTGCCAGACCCAGCATCATCTGATGAGGAGAATGAGGATGGAGACTTCACCGTGTATGAGTGCCCTGGGCTGGCTCCGGTATGCAGTTGCAGGAGGGCCAGGGAGTACCTGTGCATGTGGGGGTGTCCAACATGTGCCTGGGATGTGCGCTTCTGTGTGAGGAGCCTTTTCCACATGTTCTTCATCAAACCTTGAGGTGGTCCAACCGCTCTGCTCCCCCCATGTCCCTGGCCAGTTCCCACTGAAGCTCTCCAGTGGGCAGGAGTGCATGCCCTGGCACAAAGCTTTTCCCTGGGAGCAGAGAACTAGAGCAGCCCTTGGCACACCTGACCCACCATCCCTGTAGTGACAGGTCACTGCTCCTGGCCACCAGGGCCGGGGGGGTCTCGTCCTTGTGCCATCCTAACTCCCAGAGCTCAGACCTGTGACCCCTCACATCCAGAGAGGATGTTCCTGGCTAGCAGGGGGACTTCGGGGAAGGGCAGGTCTTAACAGCCCTAGGTACAAAGAGCACAAAGGGAGGAAGAGGAGCCTTTTACATGGTAATAGGTGTCGAGTGCGGCCATCAGGGCCCAGATCGAGGGTCATCAGTGGGTCTTTACAGGCCCATTAAAGGGCACTTGATGGCAGGCAGGCAGTCTGGGCAGGGCAACCCATTCCTGCCAGCCGTACTGGGGGGGCCCATCCTGAGGTCCCCTGTCTGAGCAGGGAACTCTATTTCTGCCAGCCAGGCTGGGACTGCTGTCCTGGGGTTCCCAGCCCAGCTGTGGGGTCCCATCCCACCCAAGACCTTGGGTTTTACACATCATCCTGCTTCATCCCCCCCATGCCAGGGAGGCAGCACCTTTCCCGGGTCATGGGAGTCCTGGTGCTCATCATCCATCGCAGCCCACTAGGTCGCCCCCCTCTCCTCCTCCCTCCTCCCTGCCGGGCTGGGGTTCAGACCCAAACCCCTTGGGATGGGGCAGCTGAATCCCAACTGTTTTCTGACCTCCTACCTTCTCCTTCCCCCATTCCTCTCCCTCCACCACGGCAGACCGGAGAAATGGAAGTGAGAAACCCACTGTTTGATGACTCCTCCTTACACCCCTCCAACCCGAAGTCGCACCAGTAACCACCCCATCTCCTGCGCCCGAGCTTGCTACAGACTGTGCCCGCGGCCGTGCCCGGCGGGGTGGCCGTGCCGGAGGGGCACCCACAGCTGGGCCGAGGGACGCTGACCCCGCGCTGACAGACTGTTCCACGCCTGCCCAATAAACACCCACTAACAGCTATGGGGGGGGATTGCCCCCGTTTCCAGCGTCCTTGTCCTCTTTGCTGCTGTCATCGCGTCCCTGCGTAGCCCTTCGCTCACAACTCTCGGGGCGCAGGGGGCGGCTGCTTTGGCACAGAAATTGTTGGGGGTGCTGCCCTGGCACTGTCCCTTTGTAGTTGGCTTTCAGGAGGGGGCTGCTGCCTTGGCTGCAGCAAGGCTGATGCATAGCAGCTGGGAAGGAGTCAGAGAGAGGGTCAGAAAGCAGAAGAGGGCCAGGAGGGCTGGGCATGCTCATGCCTGGTATCAGGGCTGACAGCCTGCCCAGAGCCCATCTGCCAGGGATGGAGCCTTTCCCTGGAGCAGGTGTCATCACTAAGGGCTTCAGTGCCCATTCTGCCTCCTCCACCCCAGCCTGGGCAGCTTCTGGCAGCAGAATAGTGCTCTGGGAGCCAATAGCAGGAGCAGGAGAAGCTCCAGCAGGCACTGGCATCACTCCCCAGGATGCTCCTTCAGCTGCTGCCCTGTGCTCTGACCCCTTTAGGGGTGCTGGGCTTCAGGACAGTCCCAATGCCACTGTGATCTGGGAGCCCAGTCTGTGCTGGCAGAGGATGGGCTCTCTCTTACCACAGGCCTCAGTGGGGTAAAAGCTCGAGAAAAAGTGTTCAAGGTTTTGTTTTTAAGATTATGTGGCTGTGGGGGAGGCAGGAATAGGGCTGGAAGGAGCTGGGGTGGCTGAGAGGGGCAGCCAAGGCATGGGGGCTCTGCTGTGCTGCTTCAAACCCCACAGAGCTCGTGTCCTGGCAGCATCCCTGTGGAGCCTGGCACTGTGTGTTCTCTGAGAATCCCTCTGTGGCAGGCAACAGTCTCCACTGCTGCATCCCAGGCACCTCTTGGGTCTCAGACCCTCTGCACCCCTCCGTTGCCCATGTCCAGCCTCACCAGCCCTCACCAACATGTTCTTGCTTGGAGCCCAGAGCTCTTCCTCAAACCCTCACAGGTGCATAGGCCATGGACCCCTCCAGTGGAAGGCCCAGAACAGGGTTTGGGTTAGTTTGTCCTGTGGCTTCATGTCCAGACCCTGTTGTGGACTGCCACAGCCACAGGTGACCTCTTGTGCTCTCTGGAGCCATTGTACATGGACAGGCATGGGCAGGGCAGGCAGCAGTGGCAGGGATGTGCTGGTGAGTGATGGTGGCATGGGACCATCCCTGTCCCTGGTGGGGTAGCTGACAGAGGCCATCATGGCTCAGGTTCTGTCCCCGTGTCCTGCACTCCCCCTCCCCTGGGCTGCTGCCACTCTCCCCACACCTCTTGTCGTTGTTGTAAGAATTGTAGTTCTTTTAAAAGGAGATTTTATTAAACGACGATGTTTGAGACCCATGCGAGTGTGTGGTATGGGGCCCGCGGCTCGGGGGGCTCCTCTCGACAGCAGGATGGGACAAGGGGACCGGGAGGGAGTATGCTGTGGGTCCCCAAACCTTCCTTAGGGGCCAGGGAGCAGCCATCCTGCTTCTGCAGCTGGAGGAGCGTTCAAACCCTTCCCAAGGGTTTTCCCAGGCACATAAAGAACCTGGGATAATTTTCTTGTCTCATTATTTGCCAGGAGAGGTTTCTCCAGAGAAAGGTCGGGTGGGAGCCCCCGCACCCAGCCCTTCAGCACCCATCACCCACCCCACCTCCGCCCCGAGCCCCCACGGGGCCCTTCGCACCTCGGGGATGACAGATAAGGGCTATCGAGTCCCCGCATTGTGTGCAGCGGAGCTCCTTTGATCACGCCAAACCCCTCCATCAGGCTGATACCATCTCTCCTGGTTTCGGCAGCCGGAGGTGGATGCTGACTCACCGCCAAAGCACCCACCCGGAATGCTTCTCTCATGGGGGTCTCCAGCTGCACCCCCGGGTGATGCACACCCCAAATAACCTGAGATGCCCCCAGGGCTCAGTCCTGGGGAGACCCAGACTAGAAGTCACTCGTGTCCACTGAGGTCCCCAAATTTGTCCTTCCTCTGCTCCCACAACCCAGCAATCTCTTGAAGCACATCCAGACATTTTGGGAAGTTCTAGCTAATAGTAAAACTTGACTGTTCTGCCCGGGAAAACCCCCTTGCTCCAGGCACGGTGGCCACAGGAGCTCTGTATCCCCTGGGAATCCCTGTCCCTACCACACATCCAGGCATGGAAGAGTCATTTGTCCAGGGACAGGGCACCTGTGCTGCGGACATCCAAGAGCTTCAGCCCCCACCTCATTTCCCCCGGCTGTAACACAATGGGGTGGGCCCATTGGTGTATCAGGCACTGTGTTGGTGTAGGTGAGACACATTACAGCCCAGGGCCTTTGTAATAAGGGAACAGAACTGGACCAAAACACCTTCTGTGATTTTCCCCTTGGCCCCTTGGCATGACTGACTCCATACTGTCCTCTTGGGTAAGCCGCAGCCCAGCTGACAGGGAGCAGACCAGCATTCCTCCAGGCACAGGGTTTCTGGACTAGAACTCCCTGTCCAGTCCTTCTTAATTTGTCCTGGAGTGGCCCCCTCACTATGGGACCCTGACCCACCACATGTAGGACTGCAACCCCCCTTCGGTGGGCAACTCAGGGGTATCCAGCACAGCCCCAATGGCCTTTCCATCACCTGCTAGAGAAAAGTACGGCCTGACCATGCATAAAACATAATTCATGCTCATCCACTCTCTTAAAATCCCAAGCACCAGTACCACAGCAGTACACTCTGCAAAGGGAGGATGAGCAGGTCTCAGGAGAGTACATCTCGGCCCTCTCCAGCCTGCTGCCATCTCAGTGAACCAGTAAAGCAGACACTTTTTTTTCTGCTCCCATTTTCTTAGCAGGATCCCACTGATCCCTGGCTGTGTTAGACAGAGCCTGGCCAAGCCTGGAACACCAGCATGTTCCAGATCTGGGCTGGTGGAAGGAGGCATCCATCCATCTGCTCTGGAGCAGGCAGAAGAATCGTGGTCACTGGTGTTCAAAGACCCTACACAAT